CTGCACTGATTCTGCACCAACCACCCTGCAGCCAAGATAACATGGGCATCCCCTGGCACTGCTGCGTGGTGTGCTTGGATTTTCCCTCACAAAAGGCAACTCCCTACAGTAAATCATATTTACAGAAGGTGGTCATAGTCAGCTTAACACATTTGGTAATCAGGAGAAAAATATTTCAAAGTAACTTTTAGCCTGGGTACTAGCTACAGGCACATTGTTAAAAAGTAAATTGCATGGACACAAAGGATGATTGTTACTTTTATATTAGTGTGTGATATTAACCCTTAAGAGCTGGTTTTGATGATAAGTTTTTGGTGAGTGAAACTGCTAGTTCGTTACTTACATTTACACTCAAGCTTGAAGATCCTTAGTCACGTAAGGTGTTTATATCGTTATTTTATTTGCAATAAAACAGATAGAAGTTTTTGAAATCTTGGATCCTTCTCCTGTCTCCAATACAATTGAATAAAAAAGCAGTGTTAAAGTATTTAGGTGCTGAAATTATTTATCAGATCTCTACTTACTATGCACTTTCAGGCTTTATAGTGACCAAGAACCATGGAGAACATTTTTTCTTCAAATTATTCTTCTTTCAAGGGATGAAACAGGGCTAGAAAGCTTTTCTCTCTCAAAGTTATAGATTTCACCTGTCTTATTTAGACAGTAGCTACTAAAAATACTAAGATTCTGTTGCAGGCTACATGGGCTTTTATTTCCAGAAGCACAAGTTTCTGAGAGAAGAGAGGTTCAGAGACACTGTGATGTGAGGCAAGGTCCTGGGGCTGCTTCTACAGGAAGGTCTGCAAAGCACTTTGTGACTATTCAGGAGCTATGGAGTTGTCATTATGGCAGGCCACTTCAGTGTCATGCACCTCCCTGTAATATGTGACCATGTTTGTTTACTAGCCCTTATGTTTTCAGCTCATCCCTCCTCACCCCCACATTCACTGGCCCTAAGCAAAAGCCTGCTGCTGTCAGCAAGGCTGCAGGTGGGCAAGTCACTCATGTAGGCTGAAAGACTGAAGCTGAAGGCTGCATGTTTCTGCAGCCAGAAAGGTCTTTACGTTACATGTGTGTATAATGCCCACTGTAAGGGATTTGTCTATGGCCTACAGACATGAGGCAGCACTGTCAAATTAACATGAACAGAAAAGGACAAGCATGGTAAAACAATAGAACCAAAAGATATCACAATTATCAGAAAAATATTTGTGATTACAAAAGAATGTTTTCCTCTTACTCATCAATCTGCCATTTGGCAAGCCCTACAAGAAAAGAGATGATGAGACAGAGGAAAAAGAAGAGGAAAAAAATTACAGGGAAAGGTAGGGAGAGAGAGGAAAAAAAGAGACAGAGTAGATATTTGTCACAGTACAGCACTAGCTTTTAATTAATATAGGGTATGTACAACTTTAAAGACTGTTGGTCATGTAGTATTTTATGATAAATACATTTTATGGGATTTTGTTTTTAAAGAGGATTTTTGTTAAATAACCTAGCCCAATAAATGATTTACCAGCTGCAATAAAAGATCAAGGAAATTGCTCAGATTGCATCTTGGAGCATCAAAACCACTGAATTTTATGGAGATCTAAGCTGCCCCCAGATCTAGTCCTATTAAAAATTTTTGTAGCAGCTAATTATCTTGCATTGCATTTTTTAAAAGGTAACAATCCTAGCAGAGAGGAAGGTCTGGAAACAGACAAAGAGGAGTTGATGCTCTTTCATTGAGAAATAGGAGAGAAGGAAAGAGATAGACAGAAGTGAGTAATAACTGAACCATTGTGGGAGAAATAGGAGAGAAGGAAAGAGACAGAAGTGAGTAATAACTGAACCATTGTGCTGATAAGGTAACAAATGGAACTTACAATTCACAATGCATTGCATACTCCTCCATTCACACAGGTAAACTAAATTAACTCTCAGTTAAAGAAAAATAATATTAAGGATACATTATTTACATGCCATGTTAAGTGTAATATCTCTGTTACTCAATCATTTCCCATGACTGTCAAGCTGAGCAACTTTGAAAAGGATAAAGGATCAACACCTGAATTTAAACAGCATACTTGAATTATCTACTGTAAATCGGTAAGAAACAGAATCAAGACAGTGAAGTTCACTGCCATGGAAAGCAAGCACCCTGACACAGAAAGGGTTGGTGATAATTTGGTTAATTTAATTTGAAAACTGAGGTAGGCAAAACAAAACAGTGGGAGTCAGCAAAGACATTTGGATGACCACTGCTACTCTAAAATATATTCTTAAATTATGACCAGGATGAGGGAGCCCTTAATTGTCCAAAATAAACATGAATGCAGAATTATGGCAGTCTAATTATATGATTTTGTGATGTTTTTCCACTTGATTGCTGCCTCCTGCAATACTCAGGGCTGACAACATCTAGGCTTGAGTTCAAATTTCTATAGTGAAAAAACACTTTGCTTCTGTAGAGTCTTTACCTAACTTCCTGACAAACTTCAAAGGCACCAAGTGAATGTGGCAAGCGAGAGCAGGGAACAACAGTACTAGTGATGCTGAAGGCTGCTTGGCTTGCCTGATGAGGTAATCCTGCTTTCAACATTTTTGATAGGCAAGTCATTTAAAATTAAATTTTCACAGACCTCTACCCTATTCCGATGCTCCGTTTTATGGAGGTTTTATTTGAAACTCCAGGGGCTAATTTACAGAAGACGATAGGTGCCAGAGATGTACATTACAGCCGGGTTTTCAACATTCAAAACATGATACAGAATACTATTTGAAAGGTTATCAGATCACTTCATTTAGAGAAGGACTGGGTCTTCATCGTTTCCTACTAGCTACAAATAACTGTCCAAATTTCACAATTACTTAGGAGATGAAATTGCAGAAAAAATAATTATAAGTAAATTAAAATGTTTAATTTCCAAGCATTTTTTTTAAATTTTGCTGTAATTTATCTTTTCAAGTAATTCCCTATATGTGCATTCTGTAACAGAAAAAAGGAATAATATTTAAAGTAATATCCAAGAAAGGCACTATATTGGTCTTAAAATGCTGAAAAGATCTTGCTAGACACCGTCATTCACAGACCAGATAGTCTCAGTGCTGTGCCTGGCAAGATCATGGAGCAGGTCCTCCTGAAGGCTCTGCTAAGGCACATGGAAAATGAAGGGTGACTGGTGACAGCCTACGTGACTTCACCAAGAGCAAATCCTGCCTAATTTGGTGGCCTTCTACAATGGGGTCACTGTACTGGTGGACAAAGTAAGAGCAACCTATGTTATCAACCTGGACATGTGCAAAGCCTTTGGCATTGTCCCACAGAACATCCTCGTATTGAAACTGGAACAGCACAGATTTGATGGATGGACCTCTCATTAGGTAAGGTGCTGGCTGGATCGTCACACTCAAACAGTGGTGATCAATGGTTTAATGTCCAGATGGAGACCTGTGACAAGTAGAGTTCCCCAGGAGTCAATACTTGGACTGGTGCTATTTAGTGTTTTTGTCAGTGATATGGACAGTGGCATTGAGTGCACCCTCAGCAAGTTTGCTGACAACACCAAACTGTGTGGTGACATCAATGTGCTGGAGAGAAGGGATGCCATCCAGAGAGACCTTGACAGGCTTGAAAAGTGGGCTTGTGCAAACTGCATGAAGTTCAACAAGGCCAAGTGCAAGGTGCTGCACCAGGGTTGGGGCAATCCCAAGCACAGATACAGGCTGGGTGGAGAATGGATTGACAGCAGTCCAGAGGAGAAGGACTTGGGGGTAGACGAGAAGCTCAACATGAGCCAGCAATGTGTGCTTGCAGCCCAGAAAACCAGCCATGTCCTGGGATGCATAAAAAGAAGCGTGGCCAGCAGGTCAAGGGAGGTGATTGTCCCCCTTTATTTAGCTGTGGTGAGACCCCACCTGCAGTACTGTGTCCAGTTCTGGAGTCCCCAACATAAGAAGGACATGGAGCTCCCAGAGAGACTCCAGAGGAGGGTCACAAAGATGATCAGAGGGCTGGAGCACCTCTACTGTGAAGACAGGCTGAGAGAGTTGGGATTGTTCAGCCTGGAGAAGAGAAGGTTCTAGGGACACCTTACAGCAGTCTTCCAGTACCTGACGGGGCTACAGTATAAGTATTCATAGAGAGAAGAGAAGGGGTAATGGATTAAAACTGGAAGAGGGTAGATTTAGGTTAGACATTAGGACAAAATTCTTTCCTGTGAGGATAGCAAGACACTGGCACAGGTTGCCCAGGGAGGCTGTGGCTGCCCCCTCTCTGAAAGTGTTCAAGGCCAGGGTGGATGGGGCTTGGAGCAACCTGGTCTAGTGGAAGGTTTCCCTGCCCACGGCAGGGGGGTTGGAACTAAATGATCTATAAGATCCCTTCCAACTCAAACCATTCTATTATTCTATGATTCTTCCCCTGACAGAGCTTCTCACAGCAATGCAACAATGTTAAAATTGCATCCTTATTTAAAAAGAAAAGGCTTCCAAATTGTTTATAATCCATTTCAATACAAGCGAGTCAAATAAAATGCAAGTCTTTAGTTATTTATAAGTGCTAAAAATATCTTACCTCATATCTATGAAGGTGAAGTAACAACACTTCCTTACTTCACAGTGATTTCTCAAAGAAAAGTTACTCTTATCTATAATGTTCTATTGGTAAGGAAAAGTAGAACACAATCAGCAATTCTGAATCCCAGGCAGGGTCTTCATGTTGGAAATAAGTTGAGGAGTCACAGTGATCAAAAAGCAGAAAATAAAGTACTTAATATTTACACAAATAAATAGCTCATGCACAGAAAAATGAGCTCTGTGGAAAAGTAGCAAATGATGTCATAATCACAACGTGTGCACAAAGGGGATAAACTGGTGTTGCTTAGATAATTGTCAACTTATGTGTTGGATTTTGCAGCCTGATAACATTCTTCTGAATTGAGATACCACTATAATACAAGAATAACAAGGCTTACTTTTGGGTTGTGACACTACTTGATGCTGAGATTACTTACCACACAGAAAAAGTGTATTTCTCTAACTCCTCCAAGTAAAAATCACTTTCTGCAGATGGTTTCACTTCTTCAGGACTTGCATTGTTCCCAGGACTAGATTTTTCTTGATAATGTTCATCAGGTGGGTTACCCCAATTGATCTTTAAATTAAAAGAAAAAAAATCAAGTTAGAATAGTAGATAGCAAATTAGGAGCTCTCAGTTTCACCTTGTTTGGAACTTCGAGCCCTGTTTTATTCTTCACTCTATAACAAACGTGGAAATAGCAGTGGCAAAGCTGGATTATTTCAGTTGGAAAGGACCTATGACAATCATCTAGTCCAACGGCCTGACCTGTTCAGAGCTGACCAAGTTAAAGCATGTTAAAAGCATTGCCCAGATGCCTCTGAAACACCAACAGGCTAGGGGTATCAACCACCTATCTAGAGAGTCTGTTCCAGTGTTTTACCACCCTCTTGATAAATAAATGTTTCCTTATGTCCAGTCTGAACCTCCACTGCTGCAGCTTTGTCACTGGATCCCAGAGAGAAGAAACCAGCAGCCCCCTCTTCACTTCCCCTCCTCAGCAATTGGTAGAGAGCAATGAGGCCACCCCTTAGCCTTCTCTCCAAACTAGACAAACCCAAAATCCTTGGCTGTTCCTCACAGGACATGCCTTCCAGCCCCATAACCAGCTTTGTTGCCCTTCTTGGGACACATTCAAGGACCGTCACATCTTTCTTTAATTGTGGGGCCCAGAACTGCACACAGAATATTATTCAGTGAATGGATTCATGTTCTTATGAGACTTTAGTTCAACAAACCCTGTCAGGGAGGTGTAAGCTCATGCTGCCACCAAAAGTCATTATCCAGCTTTCCTCAACCTTCTTGCCTTTTCCCATGTTGTACACCACATTTCATCAGCTAAAAAACTTGGACATCCACATAGTAAAACATACGGAAGGAATGGATCTGGGGAGGGAATTAATGTTGTTTGGCTTCTTTCCTTTCTTTTCCTTTTATTAACTGGGTTAGCTCTCAGCTGGACCCATTCTGATCCAGGCCACCTTGCACTGGTGCCAGCAGAGGGGAGGGAGGGACAGTACTGCATCTTCAAGTGCTAGAGACAGTTTATGCTGATTTAAGGTACTCCTAGAGCTACAAAACAAAGAATCCTAATCTGTGCTCATCTCTCAAACAACATTTTTGCACTCATGAAGCCCAGTTCAGCCCTGGCACCGCCTGTCTCTGGAGTGACTGGCAGGTTCCTCGCATGTTCGATGTTCTCACCCTTGGACAGAGTGTCAAGCATCACTTCCACCAAGAGACACAGTGAGGTCATAACTCACCAAATAGACTTCTGCAGGTGACTTTATGAAGCTATCTATTAGTGCCTTCCTAGGCACAGTGCCAAACTCTGTAAAGGGTCTGCTAACATTTAGTGAACAACTCCAGAGAGAAAAAAGTTAAAACCACTTACATGCCGTAGAAACAGCATTCCCTTTTTGTTCTTTCTTTTAGACATGGGGAAAGTATACTGTTTAGAAGCAATCACAAAGGGAAAGCCTGTTTCTCTATCCCTTTATACCAATTTTATTAAGCAATTGCTTGAAATTTTCTACTCTATACTAGAAAGTAACCTAAATTATTTAAGTTCCTTTTAAGGACTTCTGCATTATGAAATCTGTAATGAACAAAACATCCACATTTGCTCTGTAGATCTCAAAAAATCTCAGAGCTTCCAGGGAAGACAACATTAAATGTTGTCACACCACTGTCTACTTTTGAAAACTACAAAGATTTTTTTTCTTTTTTTTTTAACTTGGTAAACTGTTTTGCTCTAAAAGGCAAATTTGTATTCCGAAGCTTGGATTACATAGACCTCATCCACATTTTGAATTTTAATTTAAGGCTCTTGGACATAACAAATAGGTGTTCATATCCATACATACGTAATGCTGAGCATGGCTATCAGTAAACATGATACAATCATCATATTTTCAACATTAATTGGAAAAACTGCCACAAGCAATGGAATATCTTGTTAAAAGATGATTCCATGTAAATATGACTAGTTAAGGCAGAGTAGAAGTGGGCAACATGCTCAAAGCTGATTTCCAATGCTAAGACCAGGTAGCTACAGATAGTATTGCATTTCATCTAGCCACAATTGTGCAACTTAATTCCCTAGAAAATAGTCAAGGTTTCAGAGTAGGTAGGGTGTGCAAAGTATCTTACTTGCACTGACACTGTCTTTGTGAAATTATTCCTGTGCAAAGTAGATATAAAAATATTAAGACATAAATCCCAAAGCTGTTAAAGAGTTTTATTAACCCATAATATTCTGAGACTGTGTTTGATCTTCTCTGAAGTACAAAAGCAGAAGCTCAGTCATCTCATCCCATCATATGAGGATGGGATTATAGCCATATAATGTATTTGACTTCCCTCAGAAGTCACTGACCAGGAGCACTGTGTCTTTCACAGCCACCACTCAATATCACAAATGCACATAATGGTGTGCACACTCACTGCAACAAAATCTAAGTTCTCACTAATGTCCACCACTCAGAAGATACTCAGTGGGAGACTATTTGCAACTCTGTAGCATAGATCAACTTGGAGGATGGTCAAAGCAATAACACCTTTGGATTTGCTGATATATCCTATATTACCCAAAAAAGGTTAGGTCAAACCAAGAGGTCTTTCTGTTTGCTTTTGTTACAAGAAAAGAAAAAAGAGGAAAAAAAAAAAAAAAAAAAAAGGCACAGCTGAGGAAAATAATCCATTGCTTGAACATCTGTCTTCTGCCTTGAGCCTGTCCTTTACATTAGTGTATAACTGTGTCCAATATATGATTGTTGTGTAAAATTATTTTAGAAAATTTTTTTTCAGTTCCAGAAACACAAGGAAGCCCAAATGACATAGTGTCATCAAGTGTCTAAACCTTCAACATATGAAAATAAGGATCTTTCTGAAGACTGCAGTTCATTCATCCCATTAAAAGAGAGGGGCTCTTACAACCTTGGAAAGTAGATTTCACACGCTCACATTTCTTTTGTGCAGAAGTACTCTCATAAGAGCTCAGTTCAGAAATCTATTTAAACATGCCAATAACTGTAAGCTTGTGAGTCATTTCGCTGAGTCCAAAGGGACTAGACAGTGCTGAATAACCCATGGGCTTACGTACCTTACTGAAACCAGGTCACTTTAATGTGGCTTTGAGAGCCACCCACAACGGAGGTTCCTGTAAGAGCGTGGCATTTTGTTTAAAGGCAATGTGCTATTATGGGATTGTAGGAAATGAATTTCACTCTGCCACTCCCATGGGCTGGGTTGCTTTACCCATTACACCCACTCCCTCAGTCCTTGAATTGGTCTTCCTACAGATACAAGGCTACACACACACGTATCGGTCTGCGGTGCAGTTATGTTTATATAAACTCTGGCTTCTTCAAGTCATCCTTACTTTCTTTCCTAAAGCAATAAATCACTTTAAAACTTAGATATTTAAAATGGAGGGATTTTCCAGTTGGCCAATCTGACTTTGCTCACAGATATTTATATATTGATCACCATACTACTAAAGTCCAGGTTGCAATAATAATTCCCAGCTATGGAATATTTGTGCCACAGTAAGTGTACAAATATAAACACATAGCACAGAAATTTGTGAGTACCCTAAGAGCTGTAATTACTTTCTTCCATGTTTCACATTGCACCTAGAACAGTGTGAGACAAATTGCCAGAATTATTATTTTGAATATTCATGTTTGCAGTTATAGTTCATTGTAGCCACGCAGATCTAAGAAGGGAACTGGAGCGACGCTTACAAAATAACATCCTTCATTGGAAAATACCTAATCTAGAACAAGTAGTGCAGGTAGAAGAAATCCTCAGGAATACAGAGTCTTCTTTGTGTCTTAGTTCTCAGAATTTACATTACATTGGAAAGTTCCAGTGGTATCTCACCCAGAAAGTGTGGTCATGATCCAGGTGTGAATTCATGATAACTTGCACTGATGACACAATATTTGTTCACAAATTAATTATGTCCTTGACCAAGATACTACAAAAAAAGCATACTTAAAGTTTCTGGTAGTAGGGGTCTTTTGCACAAAGACAGGAGAGCTTTAAGGTTACAGATGCATAAGAAATCTATCTTGTATATAAACATTACTGAAATAATATCAGCCTGCAGAACAGCCTTGATCAAGCTGCTGTTGTCTGAGTACTGGACGGTCTTTCCTACTATTCCTTTGACATTTCTTTGCTGGAGAGATTAAGTCCCTATAGATCTAGGCAGAATACAGCAATACTCCTGGGCATGTGAAGCCTTACAGTAACTATAAGAAAATTCACGGTGACAGATTAAAGAAACACAGCAACAAAAAGAAGCAAGCTCACTAACCACTGCTAAATGGCACAGGTAGAAGTTCCAGTGATTTGAGACCACTCTGGAGTATTGTGTCCAGTTCTGGGCTCACCAGTTCAAGAGGGTCAGGGATTTACTTCAGAAAATCCAACGGAGGCTATGAGGATGATTAAGGGTCTGGAGCACCTGCCTTACGAGGCAAGGCTGAGAGACCTGGGGCTGTTTAGTCTAGAGAAGAGAAGGCTGAAAGGGGATCTTATTGATGTTTACAAGTATCTGAAGGGTGGGTGTCAGGAAGGAGGGGCCAATCTGTTTTCAGTTGTGCCCTGTAATGGGACAAGGGCAATGGATGCAAACTGGAGTGCAGGAAGTACCACCTCAACATGAGGAAGAACTTTTTTACTGCAAGGATATCAGAACACTGGAACAGGTTACCCAGAGAAGTTGTGGAGTCTTCTTCTCTGGAGACTTTCAAGACCTGTCTAGAGGCCTTTCTGAGTGATCTGCCCTAGATTCTGAGGTGGTCTTTCTCTGGAGGTGGGGTTGGACTCGATGATCTCCAGAGGTCCCTTCCAACCTCTACCATTCTGTGATTCACCATGCTCTTTAAGGGAGATGGTGACGTTCAGATCAGTACCTTGTGTTGTTCTCCTTGGCCTTTCTTCAGCCAAAACCAGCTACAGTGCACATCTGCACTGTCCTGGCAATCTTGGTAAATATCATCCTCTGTAAAAAGGAAAAAAAAATAAAATTAAAAAAAAAAATTAGACAAGTATTTTTATATTGGTATATATTGCTGCATAAGATAACATTCTAGAAGGAAAGGTGCTGTGATGTTTTCCCTCTCCAACCAAGGTCCTGTGTGATGCTAGGCAAGTAATTTTTCCACTTAGTCCTAGTTATAAATAGGTGGTTACTTCTCTCCTACACCTTCCAGAAGTGCTAGGATGATAACTGCAGAGACTTCAGATATTGTGGTGCTGGAAATAGCAATTGTATAGCTAAGAAGTGGTGGGGAAAGTATAAATAAAGCAATAACAGACACAAGAAGAATGACAGTTAAATACTCCAGGATGTGTTCTTCAAAAAAGAGAAGAAAATTGGTTTTCTTGTATGGGCATGGCTGTGGATCAAGAATGAGGCACAGGGATCAAAAGTACTCATCTTTTCTGAGCAATGTTTACTCCAGTAATGTGTCTCTGAAGGTCCTGAAAAGCAGTGACCTGTGAGCAAAAAGGTATTCCCACATCATAAGAAGCAGTGCCATGATGGAAACAAGGGTCTTTATTACTCTTCATAGTGCACAACACATGGAGGACAAGCCAAAAATAATGTTTTTTCCACTTTTTTTTTTTCCTAGTTGTTTCCACTTTGCCTCACTAAAAGACAATCAAGTGTACTTAAAATCACAGTACCAGTAGGATCTGCTCATAGGTGTTATAGCCCAGGGAAGAAGTGTTTGGCCACTCCCTGGAAATGTTCAAGGCCAGGCTGGATGGGACTTTGAGCAACCTGATGTAGCGGGAGGTGTTCCAGCCCATGTGGGAGGGTAGGAGCTAGATGGTCTTTAAGCCTCTTCCAATCCAAATGGTCCTATATTACACAATGTACACATACACAATGTCACAGTTGTAAGCCTGTGTGTTTGATTTGAACCTATAGGCATATTTCTGTTTCTTACTTTCTATACATATACACACACATAGAAGTGCATATATGCTCATCATTCATAGGGGATAAGGTTTTTACATGTAATTCTGTCATCTAGGGTGAAAGAAGAGCTCTATTGAAATCAGTGAAACCACGTAAAATACAGCTGCTCGTATGTCATGTGTGCACGCACACGCAGTATAAACAGTTCAGGCTGTCTCCACATATTCCATATATGTGACACATATATGAACCGTAAGCACACGTTAAAATATAAACATACCTTTGTAAAGATGGTTACTGTGGTTTTCTCTGTTGTTCAATTTTTCTAAAAAAATTTTGGCTCAGTGAAATGGGTTTCCAAATAGCTTTGCTGAAGACTTGGACAATGTTTTTGGAGACAATTGAATAAAGCAGTAATTATGTTGGCCAAAAAAATAGCACAATAAAAAAGAATAAAGAAAACAATAATATTCTGCATTTAAGAAATGGGAGGGAAAACTAACTCCAGTTTGTTATTTAATCATGACATGCTCTTTTTGTATTTTATTTGTAAGGCTCTGAATGCTCTTTTCTTTCTGTACCAGTGAGCTCATTACTTTAATTCCTCATAGATTTCTCTGAGCAATTTTTGCTAAGTAAAAACACAATGTAATTCTTCAATGGCTGTAACAGTAAGAAGCTGCTCAAATTAAAGATCAATAAAAAAAACAGAGAAAAAAAATCTGTATGAAAATAAATAAATAAAGGAGAAGATGGCAAATGCTTGCAATTAGACAGGATGAAAAATCTAAAAAGAAATTAAATTTAGTTGTAATACATTTCCCATTCTTTTCTTCATGAAAATTACTACTGAAGTGGGTTTTTTTTCTGTAATTTAAATGTTAAGCTGCCAGATGTGTGTCTCATGCTTGAAGAGTTGAAGCTTTGCATTATTTAGCATATTAAGATTCACAGAATTTTAAAAAGGGCTCCTTTATTGCCTGGAGGTTCTAATTAAGTAAACCTTAGCCTGGTACATTTAAAACTTGCAATACAAGAGATTTTGCTTCCTTTTTTTTCTCTGCAGCCAAGTCTCATCAATATAATAAATATGGAAAATACTTAAGATGATATAATTTTTCTTTGGCTTGAGGAATTAAACCTATCTATTATTTTAAGAAGTTTTTAATAGAGGCCAGCAATCAGAAAGACATTTAAAGACTCCAGTCTACTTTTTAATCATACGAGTTGCTGTTAACGGGGGGAAATGTGTCTTATAAAATGGAGCTATGTAGAAATTGTTTCTTCCACATGCACAAAACAAAGCAGTTCTGAGAAAGAAACAAGAATCACACTGTTTTTTATTATTAAATTGCATCTTACTTTTTTATAACTTGTTATAATTGACCACAGAAAACTAATAAAGCGTTAATTAGCTGAGCTATCAGCAATTTGGTCATTGAAGGAGTTGTGATGGCTGCATCAGAACCTGTAATAACAAAAATTCCTTTGACATGCTGTACCCATAAATCATTCCTTAAATACACTTTTTATTATTTTTTTTTTTTTGCCATTTTAGAAAATGTCAAAGGTGTCAACTTTGTCCAGATATAGCACTTAGCAGTGACTATTTTAGTAAATTGACTCAAAACACATTTTGTTCCCTGACAGAGGAACATAATACCATTCATGATAAAAATGAACAATTTGAGGAGGATAAAATAGCACCAAGTAAGAACGATCAAAGACAGGTATCATAGCTATGACAAAGGTACAATGGCAGGCATAAACTCTGTTAATAGGTTTACTTGGAAGTCAACAAACATATGCAAAAAAGCAGGAAAATGTGATTACACTAGAGCCTGGAAAAGGCAATAAGACTCTTAATCCAATGTTATAAATCTGTGATCAAGTATTAATAAGAAGTCCAGTGGAATAGCTTTAATGCTGAATATTTGGATAAGACAAAAAGGAAAAAATATGTGGCATTTTCTCTCACCATTGTGGAATGGGCCAGTTAACAGTAATGCCTCGATTTGGGAAAGCATGGTGAGAGAAAGTTTACTTCCAGAACATGACAATGCTGACAGCAGTCTTGTTCCTTGGTGATATTAAGTCCCAGCAAACCAGTTTTGATGCTACACAGCTCACACCTAATATGCGATACAAAGAAAGTGTCCCTGAGGTCTGCAGGGACTTCCATTTTTTGAATGGAAAAAGGTTGGAAACTGAAACATTACTGCTAAATTGTTGCCCTTCTCAGCATCAGTCTTCTTGGGGTAACAGCTGAGAGTAGTAACAAGACCTTTAATAAAGGAGGGTGTTCTACTTCTCCTTAACATTTGTAGAGTATAATCTTTGTAGAGTATAATGTAATCTTTTTATCCTTTACAATGAGCCCAGAAGTTAGCCTCTTTGATTATGCCTTCTATAACGAGCACTGTGGAGCAATAGGAGTGGATCTGTCAAATGACACCAGTGATTCAGAGGACACCACTAAACACTGGGGACCCTGTTGTGCATTGAAGACTTTATGACAGACTAGCTCTAGTCTGGATGCTTTGGATAGCTGCTTGTAGTTTGGTTACATTTCATATTATACAAGCCCTATTCTTAAAATCCTCAGTAGTTTACAGCATTATCTCTTACAGTATATTGTTTCAGATCCTATGATGATGCAAAACAATGCCTTTTGAATCTAACCTTGTTTTGATAAGTTGATGCAATTCAGTACATTTCAAAATCAGGCCACTTTTGTAACTACATCATTTCAGAGTATTTGTAAGAGATACTCTTGATTTGAAAAATGCTCTAAAATGCTTTGTTTGGCATTGTATCTCTGCCAAATTCCACATAATTAATTTGAATAAAAACTCAACATAGCAGTTTTAGACCTAGAGAAGTCTTAGTGATGGGGAAAGAGGAGGGAAGGAAGAGCTATCTATCTGCACAATTAATATATGGAGTTTGAGACATACATTCTAAAGTAGGAAACATCCAAATGTTGGCAAAGAAAATAAATCAGGGGGAAAAAAAAAGTCTGATGCCATGAAATGTTATTTAAAACAACTTTTGTTCATGTAGGTTACTCCTGTTTTAAATACTGTCATTATTCTAAGTTGCTTTGCACAACTGTTGTTGGGCAAACTAATTAAATGAACATCAAAGTAGATTTCACTAACATAAAAGTTGGAAAAAAAAATCTCAGCTAGGGCTGTGATTACATTCTTGGAAGGACCAACATCTAGAAAAGACATGTCAATGAAGTGTTGGTCTTACTTGGAGGTGTAAGGAGAACCCTTGAAAGATGGAAAAGTTTTATTACTTTTTTCTGTAATATGCTCTACCACACCATTTAACAAAAATTTATACCAGCTCTGTATTTTGCTTGGTAAGTACCTATGTTGGTCAACACCAATACTCAGTGTTTATGAATCTGACTAAGAAATGCCATACTAGCTCCTACCTGTATTTGGGCCTGCTTAACATGCAATATTCAACAAACGTACCTATAATAGGCATAGTCTTAGCCTTCTTGAGCAATCAACAGAGAGCTATAAATAAATGGTTTTTGAACCACATCTAATGGGCTGCTGTAAAGGGAAAGCTGGCTGGTCATTTGGCTTCAAACAAGCATCCAAAATTCTGCTGCATAATTTCAGGGAGCCCATAGATTTGAAGAAAACTACAAACTACTGTTTCCAGAGATAAGAGGTAGCTAGCAGGCCTCAGGAATCTTACATGAGCTTACCTCTCTTACCTTATATTTTTCACTTCAATGTCTATACATGACCTATTATAGCCTCCTGGTATGGGAGAGTCACTCTTTAGACACCAGCCAAACAGCAAGAATGACCCTTTCCCTAAAACAAAAGCTGACTCTTACCTGTGGTCAGTAAGAGCCACAAGCAGTGGGTATAACTGTAGAACTCCGGCTGGCTCCCAATGCCCTTTCCACTACCCTCAGCTGCTCAATCTATTCATCCTAAACAACTGTACCCGGAGTGGAAGGGCTGGCTGGCTCCCAAGCCAGCAGGGGTGTGAGCACAAAGAGGTGCATAGGCAGCAGTGGTTTCTGTGTCTGCACAGCCATCTTCCTATTGAGACAGAGTACAATTCACTGCCCAGGTTATTAAGTGGAGATGGATGTCTGTAACCTTGGTACCATCAGATCCCTGTCCTGTCATAGAGCTGCCTCTGGCCATCATGGTTGTATACAAGTTTAGAATAGGACTTAGGGGTTGTGTTACCAAGTTCTCAGATGTATGTTTTATATGAGATTTAAAATAAAAAGAAACAACTAAGCAAACAAAAGGAACCTTCAAAAGAAAGCCCACATCCAAGAAACAAATGCTACCTGATGTTAATATGGAGAGGCACTCTTACGTCATTTGGCTCAGCACAATTAACAAAGGATATTGCTATTAACATGCTGCAGGAAGAAAAAGTACTTCACAAGCACCCAACAGCAACATGTTGTGATTCACGGATATAAATGACCAAATAAAATGAAAGGATGTAAAAATGTCACGGAAACACCAGCCATAATCCAATGTTGTCAGTGCACTCCACACACACCTTGTAATTACTAACACATTTGGCCTACTAATACTTTTTAGACAGGGGAGCCCACCACTTGTGTACCTTTTTTGCCTAAACTGCTTTTGATCCCTCACAATTGATTTAAACTCTTCCATTGCTTCCTTTGCCTAGTGAAATAATGATGAAATGATATAGCAGGGCAAGGGGGAAGGGAGATGAGGGTATTTGCACACATGTCGAGCAAACTTTCAGTAAATTAAATAAAGCAATAAAAGTTCTAACCTGCTGGAAGCATTTTAGGCTCTTCTCTTTTCCTCTCAGCTTCTTCTGACACACACGCTTCTCCTCCTTTCGCAGCATTAAACTGCTTTTCCACTTCCTTTACAACAGTGGGAATACTTCCCTTATGGGTGTCAGGATCTTTCGGGGAGGTCAGAGGTTGCCCTGCAGAGGAAATGACAAGCTGTGAAACGTAAAAGAACAATTCCTTCCACATGTTTCTTTGCTCCAGGAGCAGTAAGGGGTTGTCGACTAGCATCACGACGGGATGGGCCAGGCCTCTGCCTAGCAGTCCTGTCAAAACTAATTTACAATAAAAGACCTGTGCAACTGTTTAAAGCTTTACAACTCCGGCGAGCTTCAAGGACTGCCAAAGCCAAGTGGTACAAACCAACCTTGTTTTTTAACAGCCAAGCAGGCAGACAGAAGAAAGACAGACTGAAAAGTGCTCTAAATTGTACAGTAACCAGATATATTGTACATCTGAAAATTATCTTTCCTTATAACATTTATTTCCATTATAAGCTCATTGTTTGGGGACAAATTTCAGCTGCCCTAACTTTTCATCTGATTGATGCATGTGGCACATGAGCCATATGTGCTGCTTTTAGACAGCAAGCCTTGTAGGGGGAGAGAAAAATAAAGTTTAAGGAAAAAATGGGTCATTAGTTCATTGTAAGAAAATAAGTGTCCTTAAAACCATAGTTAAAGAGCTGAGCCACTTTTTTCTTTACACTCCCAAAGTATAGTAGAGCAGGGAGGAATGAGGGACAAGCAGACCTTCTGGAAAGAAAATCTGCATGTTTAGTCCAAAGGCAGCTGAGGTTTTTCTGTTTAACAAATCATCTTCTGTGCTAGCCCAGACACTGGGAGCAGTGTAGTCACATTCACACAACACTGTACCCAGGCTAATAGACCCTGTGTCACAGCTCTACGATGGCAAGATCATCCAGCTGCTAGGATCAAGCCAGCTTGGCTGCCTTCGAACAGTTTCCTAGAAAATCTTGGCTGATGACACCTCTCCTCCAACAGAGTCAGGCTAAGCAAAACTCTTGTCTTGACCTCACGCTGTAGCGTTTGAGCTAACTTTTGTTTTAAAAGATGTACAATTGCTCATGACTATTTAGGTACAGGTAGTAACTTCTGCTGTAATTTGACAAAAAAATCCTGCATGCAACTTGGCACTAAAAAAGAACTTGTTTCAGTCTCCTGATCATCCTCAGCTACTCTTTCACATTCTCCCTTGTAAGCACCTTTTTTAGGTCTTGAGTGCACAGCGTTATATATGTGCTAGAACAGTGCTGACCATAAATTTAGCACTTCAAACTGGCCAATATTAAGGAGGTGTGAGTAAATGACTAGAATGAAAATGTTTTCCTTTCCTTCTACAAACTACAGAGGATAAAATCATCCCTGGTTTTCTACTTACCTATTTTATTTGATCACTATTTCTGATGGGCACAAATGGTTGTTTGCATGTTGAGTTAGTGGAACAGCACAGTCAGAATCGTGACCATTTGAAGAATGTTCCCAACAAGTGCAAAGTAACACTTCCAAATGAGCCTGAAGCACTTTCAAATTAATCTTTTAGGTTCAAACCTAAAAGTGATTGAACTGGAGAACAAATGTATGAGTCCTGTCCAGCTACTTTTCTGAGGATGAAAGAGCTGCCACTTCCAATAAAGACTGCATTACACTGACATTTTACACATGTGAATCCCCTCTTCTATGGATACTAAAGTCAAAGGAGACCTGGATGTGGATTTCACAGTGAGAAGGAGAGGACTCTTGAAGAGTTTATATATTTATTATTTTATGTGGAGATTCATATTTCTGAAGTTTTCATGCAGAAGACTGGGTCACATAGATAGAAACCTATCAAGGCAATGTTACATCAGATTTTTCTACCTATGCTACTTGTATCAGAGTGGTTTCCACCTTCCACACAACAATGGCTAATGAATTCCATGTAGAATTAGTAATTTATTTATTGACAGGGATTGTTGATCCCTTAATGGGGCAAGAGATCAACAACTGAGACTTTTCTTAAAAAAAAGCTACTGATGCTGGTCTTGAAAGCAGAAGTTGTCTTCCTCCATGAATACCTCATGGAACATCACTTTAAAAAAATAGAGGATAATGGTTTGGACACACTAGAGATGATAATGTGCTTCTGTGACTTACAAAGGATGAAGACTGAGAGGTACTAGGTTGCATTCCCTTGCACCATACTGTGGAAGAGAGATCCTGTGCAGCAGTGAAGAGCCATACCTGGCCCTATACAGAGCTGGGGTTTAAAAGAATAATGTAGCCTGCAGTTAAAGTAAATAATATGAAGGTTTTATCTTAAACTTCTAAAACCAAGACAAATTTGAAGTGAAGGTTAAAACACCATCACCTAAGCTGCTGTATTTTGCTTATATGTTGCAGCACCACATATGGTACCCATATCTAAGATCACTCACTATTTAGACTACTCCAGTAGAGTGAGTTACAGAGCACCAGTCTTCATTTAGAATGCTCTTGCTTTCTCTGGTTTGTCTCCCCACCTTAATGTCACTTTAACAGAGCTTTTTTACCCTCCTGCTTTTGGTGTTTTAACAGATATAATACAGTATTTATAGAGCATATCAACGTGCGACAGCTTGCCACAGATCATAAACACATTTTTCTGTTGGAAATGTTGAAGTCGTGATTTTCACCACGTGATCTCCAGTTCCCTAAGGTTTGCTCCTTTAATTGTAAATAGCCAGAAAGTCATCAAGCTAGCATTTAATAAACTTTTAATTTGAAATGGATTACCACATGTTGTGTTTGTTTACCCATTATTAAATCTCTTAGCAACATATCACCAGCAGAAACAGCATACTGTAGCACAGCATAGATACATTAAAAAACAAACCCATGGGGGATATTAGCAGCTAATAATATCTTTAAAGAAGGCTCCTAGAAAAATAAATAAATATCAACAATATCAAAAATTACTCCTAGAAATTTTGTTAGTGCAAATCTGTTTGGCATAGAAGTTGCAGATCTTCCATGATCAGCTTATTTCAGAGGCCTGAACAAAAAACAGGACATTCACTAATGCTCTTTCTCAGTTCTTAAAAATATATCTTTCCAGGCTTCTTGAACTGAGTATCACAAGTTTTTACCATGTGTTTCCAGAAGCGTGACCTATTTAGTTGCAGCCTTTGTGTGTGTGATGTGTCAGTGTGCGTGCGAAGACTGATGTTAGGACCAAACAATGGTAAGGACAATTTTGGTTTATTAAGAGCTTGCCCATAACTCTTTGTTGTTGAGAAAAGCTGTCTGCAACTTCACCTTTTGCATCTGCTATTCAAAGTTTTATGCTGCATCTAGGAACACCTTAGCAGATATGTAGATGACATACAGAAACAAAAAAGACCTTACTCCTCAGTACGATGTGTTTTTACACCTTTGTGCTTCTGGTATCAAGGTGGTTATATAAAAGGCTTTTGATCACAGTGCAATTGCTGCTTAGCTTAAAAGTGCCACAGAGAAAATATCATTTTCTTTATCTCCTAAAGCATCAGTCACTGTGCCAAAAAAAATACAACAATTAAAAAATTTTAAAAAAATTCCTATGAGGAGTGTCTGAGGGATCTGGGGCTGTTTAGTCTGGAGACAAGGAGGCTGAGAACAGAGACTTTATCTCTCACTTCAACTACCTGAAAGGAGGCTGTAGCAAAGTGGGGTTGGTCTCTTCTCCCAAGCAACAAACAATAGAACAAAGGAAATGGCCTCCAGTTGCACCAGTGGAGGATTAGCTTGGCTGTTGGAAGAAACTTGTTCACTGAAAGGGTTTTTGAACACTGGAACAGGCTGCCCAGACAGGTGGTTGGATCGCTATTCCTGGAGGTGTCTGAAAGACGTGTAGATGTGGTGCTTAAGGACATGCTTTAGCCCTGGACTCGGTAGAGTTAATATTTGAACTCAATGATCTTAAAGGTCTTTTCCACCCAGAACAGTTCTATGTGATTCTGTGTGATCACTGCTGCTGTTCTCAAATGCCAAGAAACCTCTGTCCTAACAAACTAAATCTCTGTTTCAGATTTTCACAGAATATTCACACAGAATAGACAATGCAACCTGTGTGATGGCTGCATCCTTCAATTCATTAAACAAAAGGGAATATAGAAAAGTCTGTATACCAAAAAAGAATTATGTTCATGACAGTCAGATCCCACACACTGAGAAAGAAGACCAGTGGCAATGTCCTGCCATTCTTCTCATTCCTGGATTTCTAACTGAAAGGGTGTGCTTTGTGAGTCCTTTGTAATATGGTCAACTATGTCTTCAATGTAGACGTCAGGACACTCCGAAGCCAGGGCGGATGCTCAGTCTAAAAGTAACATTCAGTGATTTTCAACGAAAGCTTCTGGGGAAGCCTGCTGCACATAAGCAAATGATAATTTGTCTTTCCTATGGGTTACCACTTGATTGAATCTTAATGGAATTTCACACAAGTAGCATAAGGCATGCCTCTGATGCCAGAATTATCTTCCTGCCAAATTTGAAGTCCCTGTTCTAGCCCAGAGAGGTGCTAGAGCTCTTCCAGCAGCTGAACTGTGATTGCTGTGACTTTCCAAGCATTATTCAGCCTTAAGCAGTGGCCACCATTGAAAGTTTCATCCTCAGGAATGAGGCTGGGTTAAATTGTTCACAACTGAAAATGAAATTAAACAATATAATAAAAAGAATCACAACATTCTTGCTATAACGTATGTTGGACCAGTATATGAATACTGAAAATCTAGCTTAACAAGAACAATAATGACTAGCAAACATGGAAACAAAATTATGGGATGTTTCAATGAAAGCCTGAATATAGACATAAAAGTTTGAATCCATCACCTTGTGGTTCAGACTGTTCAGCTTGGGGAGGTGGGAGGTGAAGGTGCATATAACACTTATTTTGCTTATCTGAATCCTGTGGTAGCTTAATTATCTATTAAGAAAAAAGGGGAAAAAAAAAATGAACATAAGCAGTTTGGTATTCAACAAAGCCAGAATATACTTGTTTCTACATTATTTTTGAAACCCAGAAACCCAAGAGGCTGCTATGAGGATTTTAAAAAGTTCTTGTTTCTCTGTACCCCATTTACAGTTGTCTTTCCTATTAGTTTCCCCACTACATGTTCCCCTTGCTTACAGACTAAACCAGACATCCCCATAAATGGGAGTGATTCACAACTCAAATTCAGATTAATTTCACAAAATACAGATTACCTGGATCAGTAAATCATCCCAGCTTATACACTGATTTCAAAGTCTTATTTAGCAGTTTTTGTGGTCTTCCCTTACCTCAATTCCAACCAATTTTAATTCCTCTGTTATTTTTTCAACATATCTCCACTAATGTATCTGATATTCTCTTTCTAGTATATCTTAGGTAATTTTTTGTATACATTCTTATATCTCTATGTTATTCTAAAGTATATTTTATTTTACTCTTGGTAGACTCAGAAAGAAAACTGCCTGAAAGGCGTCACTGCAAGAAAATTAGTAACTACATTTTCTATTAAGTAAATGCATATGGTAAACTTAAGATGCTTTCAGAATTAATCTCATTTAGTGTTTTTTCATGAGCCAGACATAACTATAAAAATGGTATAAGTTTGAAGTCTTGTTAAGATCTGAACAAGAGAATGTATCTCAGTTACAATAACACCCTTAACTTGAAAGTCCAGAAACAAAGTTTATACCAAAGATAATTCCTAACTCTGGCCAATTTTTCCAAAAATATACAAAAAATATGACATTTGAATTATGTCCAAAAACTATCCAAAAGTAACATTCCTACCTCAACAGAGTCTCACTGACTAGTGGAGAATCCCAAAGTTGCAAATGCAACAATATCAGAAACAAGATTTTATTTTGTAGCCACGTGAAAGTAACTCAGATTCACCACATTACGGAGGAAACTAACATGTACAAGTGGCAGGCTCAAACTTTGAATTTCAATTTTTGATCCTCTGACTCTGCATTCCAAACAATATTTTAATAATTTACATAATCCTAAAATTTGGCTGTAAAAAACCCCACTAATTTCATCAAAAGTTGGAGGTGCATACGATTTTTGTTTTCTTTATATGCCTACTTAGTAGACTGATAAGCTTATTATTGGAAAGACAGTAATGATTTTAAGCCTGACAGAAGGAAAGTAGAATCTGATCTCAGGAACAGTGACTAAATCAACTGGCTTAATTTTTTTAAATACAAACCTGAAAGTAGAGATTGCATAGCCAATGATCCAAATCTTGAGAAATAAAGTTCTCAATTTTTTTGAATCGGTCAACTTTGGAGTCATAATGGCCTCTGAGGAAGGGACATTTAAATTTTCCCTCCAAAGCATCAAAATTGTTGTTGCACAAGGGGAAAGCTCCCCAACCCACTTCTCGATCAATCCAAGTATGTGTTCCATGAAGAAGAAACAGTTCAAAGAGGAGAGCCATGCCTGGCTTCACAGCTTTTCTAGATGGTAGAACCTAGCAAAGGAGGAAAAAATGAAGATTTATTACTTATTAAAACATGACAATATAACCTGCTTTCTTTTATCATATAAAGCTCTACAGACTTCATACTTTTGTGCGAATTTCACGTTACAACAATTAACTGCACTTCTTGCCAAATCATGTATTTGAACAATTTTCCACTCCAAAAGAAAATACTATGCTTTTTTTTTTTTCATGCTAATTTTGCAATTTCTTTTTTTCCTTTGGCTTTCCAAAAGTGTTCCTTTTCTGTCTTTATTTACCAGTGGTGGAAAAACATTGCCACTAAAAAAATTTAAGACAGAACAACAAACCAACTTGGCAATCTGAGGTGTCCCCGTGAGGCCTTACAGAGATTCCCCACTGTGTTCCTTCTTTCAGCAACTTTGGAGAGTTCACCCTAATATCCAGTGAGAACATTTGCAGACTTAGTCCTCATAGAGCCATAAACTCTTCTCCACCCAGTTCTGGGAATGATATCTGTACACAATAGCCTTCCTCCTTCAAATTGAAGTGGGGAAACTCTTCTTGCAAAGTACATGAACCTCTGGGTAGGATTTTGTGGGAGTAAACTCTTAGAATACCAAAGACTGGCAAATACTGTTTACACTTTTCTTAAGACAGTTAGAGATATTATTCTGAGCAGCTTGGAGCTGCGGAAGAGGGTTACCAATGACTTAGGGCCCCAGGGCAACTGTTTTCCCATGGCAAATACTTAAAAATCAGGGGTGAAGAAACACTCTGAAATGATGAATTTATGTAAATCCTTCTATAAGGTTTGCTGTGTGAAGCAACGCAAGGTTATGGCGGAGCAAGTAAAGAAGGAAGAAGGGCAAAGATTAAAAAAAAAAAAAAGAAATCTGGTCCTACGCCACAATTTCAACTGCTTTCTTTAATTAATGTGGGAGTTGACAGTCTTGTTGAACAGCTCTAATGAATTCAAAAGGGTAAATAAAGCAACAACCATACAAAAGCTAGAACATGAAAGGCAACTAGCATTCATATCCTGGCTAACAGCTCTGAAAGGTAGTCAGCTACAGACAAGGGCAGCAGGTTAGCTACACCTCTCACACAGCAGAACATTTGCTTCGCCACTGTTCCTGCACGTCCTCCTGGATCTTAGAGAACCGAGACTGCCTGACATCTTAAATAAACTATCTCAGATGCTTCTTTAATACTGAAATTGATATTTTATTTGAGCATTTTCCTCCTTTTATTGTTCCTGTTTCAGTCCTCAAAGTTCACAGGAGCAAATGCTGTGGTACATTTGCCTTGCAGGGACTCCTGCTCAACTTAGTCTTCCCTTCCAGCCAAGGTAAAGAGAAGCCTTTTCTTCCTCTCTCCTCCCTGTGAAGTGGCACATATTTGTAGAAGGCCACAATATCCTTTGACTCTGAGTGTAATGTAGGATATACCCTCGGTACTTTCTGAAACTCACAATAAGACCTCCAAATAGAAGACATCTATCCACCCACTATTGAAAGTCTAAAATGCCAAAGACTTCTTAAATTAGCAGGAATTTCCTCAACCAGGTGACATTTTGCAGCTGAAAACCAGCCACATCTTTGCTGCTTCAAATATTTCTGCATGTAAGTACACATCTCAACACAGCCCTTTCTTGACTGATATTTTTAAATACAAGCATCCCTTTTTTCATACTCCTGATTGAACAGTAGGCAAGCTAATAAACACAACTCAGGTACAGCTAAGTTTTTCCTCTCTCTTTTTCTTAAGCAGCTGAGGGATTTACCCATACCAATAACTGCTATGTTAGGAGATGATACATGTTCACAGTTCTGCTGCATTCTATAATTTTTGAAGAGATGAATGTAAATTATTATTTTAATAATATGCCTTTCTGTTTCAAGTTATATATTGTGATTAGATAACGGCAAGGAAGAGGAAGTCATTTAAGGAAATCTTTTAAAACTATAAATATTGTCATTATTATGAAGGTGTACTTTATATTAATTATGTAAATATATTCTAAGACTTAGAGTAGGCTTAAAATGAAACAGAAGCATCTGTTGAAAAATGCCATAACCCTGTGGCAGCTGCTATTAAACCATTAACAGTATCAGGTTTCATTTAAACCAGATTTACCATTTTCTATAACAGCCCGTGGGAAAGCTAAAAACATTAGGCACAAATTACTGACAAAAGAGATCCTTAATCAAGCCATACATTTCATTTGGCTAGCTGGGTGCTGGATAGTAACCTCTGTGCTACAAATTAAAGGTGGTGGTTACAAGGCCATGATCAAAGACAATTACCTGCATTATTAAACAATCTCACAGCACAAGCAGATGAAATCTCTGCCATATCACAACATCCCTCTTGGTTTCTCCTTTGTTTCCCAGACTTACTCTTTTCTTTAGAATAACTCAACAGTACACTCTCTTCTGCCAGCCTGTCTGCAAACAGACAGTAGTCAGGCAGTTGGTGTCAGGGTAACTGTGACTATTAAAAATTAATTTATTTGTTTCCTGCTCACAGTTATTCTTCATCTGCTATCAGTATCCATATCCTGGAGCTAGACTGCAAACTCACTCCTTGGGACTGGAAGCAACCCTTTGCTTGAAGTTACTGAAGCTGGATGCTTAAGCCATGCCATGATCCAAGCATGTAATGGCAAAACATCTACTAAGAAAAACAAGGATTTTGTCAGACACGGGTGTGCTACAAAGCCTGTGGTTGCAAGATTCATTCTGGGATTACTTACACATGAACTTTGGCTGTCCAGCCCAGGCAGAAGAATGTCACAGATCTCAGCTTACATGGTCAAATACAACATGACTAAAAAGTAAGATATTTGCTCCTGTTGAATCCATATAAAAATCTGTGCCAAGTCTCTGCCTATTACTCTATGCCAGTGTGTTAAACATTCACACCTCTGGACTTTCCATCCTTATGGCCACCTGGAGCATGATTTATACATGGGAACTGATGTTTAGGAAGATGCAGCCAAGATACAGCAGCAGAGTTTCAAAAAGGAGGCAGGAAGAAACGGGAGGAGATGCATCTATAGAGAGTACCACCTGGCTCAGGGCAGTGTCTGAGATGGACAAGGCATAGGAAGCTCAAACCAGTTTACCTTGATGGTCTGATTTGCTTCTGAAGAAAAAATAAAAAAAAAAAAAAAAAAAAAGAGCAGCTATAATTTCCTTGCTGGTGGCAACCTCTTTTGAAGCATCATTTGGTAAGTTAGTCCACAATCTTTCACCAACACTGTTGATGTTCAAGGAGAGCATACACACAGAATCAGATTGGCTTGTGTTGGAAGGGGTCTTATAGATCATCTAATTTCAACTCCCCTGCCATAGACAGGGACACCTTCCACTAGACCAGGTTGCTCCCCATCCAACCTGGCCTTGGACACTTCCAGGGAGGGGGCAGCCACAACTTCCCTGGGCAACCTGTGTCAGTGTCTCACCACCCTCACAGTGAAGAATTTCTTCCTAAAATCTAATCTAAATATACCTTAATCTATTTCTGCCCTCCTTCAGTAAATACATAAATACAGTTTTCTGATTTTTAATGGATCTACTCTCTAACACCTTTGCTGACTGTATTTTCTTTCTTAGGTAAAATTTCCACTGATGTCTGGGAGGTGTATATTTTTTTACAGTGTTACTCATGCACCCAGCACCCACTTTTTACTGGTGTAATTTCTTTTGCAAAGAGAGATGCAGCAGAGAATAAACAGTGCTTGTGTGTGCCTGCAAAGGTACAAGTAATTCTTCCTCATCTGCAGTTAACAGTGTTGCATTTAATAGAATTAAATCATAGTGAACTAAAATTATCTCTTGCCACTATTTCTGAATTCAACTGTTTTATATCAGCTTTATTGTAATATATCTTGCTTCCCCATATGCCACCATAATTTCAGCAAAGAAATTGTTTACTCTGAAGAGAGAATGAATTCTATTTGAATATTTCAATAAACAGATCCAATATGAGGATTTGGAGGCTTTTCTCTGACTTACTTCTGGGCTTTAACCTTGTCAGAGAGGAAAAATTCTTTTGCTTCTCTCTGTACCTTCAAATGTTTTCAGTTTAGAAAAAAAAGGACAAAAATTACATTACCTAATTCACATAACAGAAGAATTTGACCACTAAACCTGGACAACTCAAATGGATTAAAATGAACTAGAATATGCAAAGGCAATTCAATATTTCCTTAATATATAGAAGAATCTTGCAAAACACCCTATAAATAAATAGATCATCACTTCCAATTACAAAAATTGGAAGATGAGCCTCACTGGTATAAAACATGGGTAGAAAACCTTTTAAACAGGAAACAGTTTCCATCAAACAATCTCATTAACAAATAAAATATTATTTGCTATATAAACTGAATAATGCTGGAGATGAGGCTGCTGTTGCCAAAATGAGAAGATTTCATGACCAAATTTCAAGCCCTTCCTGTCTATATGCAAGGCCAGGATAGAGGCAGAGGGAAGGGCATTCTTTGGAAGTGTTTATGTAACTCTGAAATTTATAAAAGGCCAGAGGGGAGAGAATAGAAACATGGACTAAAGTAAAAACAAAATATTATGTTATTAAGGTTTTCCAGGAGTCCTATCTGTCATCGGAATGTCCTGGAGTAGACTTCCCCAGCTTTCCATTGCTGCCTGTCTGTGAACGGGTATGTGACTGCAGAATGACACACAAATCAAAGGAGAACTGTGCAGTGCACTATCATACATTTCCCCATCTATATTTAATATTTTTTTCTATTTTCTGAAAATGAGAGCAGACCTTTCAAGCCTGCCATAGGTCAAACTCCTCTCCCTGCAGCTTGCAGAACTCCTTAAACCTTTATGCAGTACCACCATTTTTCCTGTGACCCAGCATCCCAATTTCCCTGCTTGTGGGGGAGCATGGACCAGAGTTGGTCACAGCACAGGACATGAGCTTTGGCTCACAAGTGAGACCTGTGGAAAGCAGGGCAGCAGTATCTGTAAGGAGACAATTTATTCAGCACTCAG